TCCACAAATTTGGGAAGGTCCCATCGCTTACCACACGTTTGTACAATAATGATATATGGTAAATTTGGGGGGTATCGCTTGCAGGAAATTGCTACATTTTTTTGTATATAATTCACAGAAATCAACGTCCAATTTGGGTATCGCTAATGTGGATATTAGAGAAATACAATAACATAACCTTGAAAAGGGGTATCGCTAATTTGGGAAGGTCCCATCGCTTACCGTGGGGTTTTATTAATTTCCATCAATTTCCATAAACCAATGTCCGTCCAATACATATTTAGTATTACCGGGGTTTTTACGGTGGCTCATATATCAAATTATTAGTATTTTTTACATTATAGATATTTTTCGAATTAAATATTAATATTTTAATATCCCAATATAGAAGATCAAATAAATATAAAATAATTGTAAATAAATTCAAATTATAAGAATATATAATTCTTATCAAAATAAATATTTATTTAAAAAAAAATAGTAATTTAAACAAACATAAAAATTAAAAAAAAATAAGGATAATTAAATATCCGTTTTTATATAATTTATTATACTAATTTATAATATAATATATTATAATTCAGCTAATCCCCCGACATTCATTTTCTAAATCGAAAACGGCTGGTCGCAAATCGCCACCCCAAAATCATATACATTTCAAAAAAGGTCTTAAGAAACCTAATTGGCTTATAAAATTACATGTATTTACCTACCCCATGTACTTCAATATTCTAGGTATCCAATAGGTTTATATCTCTTACCAATCATTTTGATTTTCTAAAGGTCCAAACAATTCATTAAAAAAACAAAAAAAAAAACAAATTATTCTTTCTAACTTCAGTTGCACTTAAAATCATTTACAGAGAACGCAATGAGAATAAAGATACCAGGGACCAGGGATTTGATTTTCTAAGGGCTCCCACATGTGGAATCCCCAGGAATTCCATTTTCTAAAGGTCCTCTGGGTGGACAGGTATAGAAATAACCGCCTAATATGTGTCGAAACAAATGCCTGTTTCGTAGCCTCCCCCGCCCACTGATTTAATAGGGGAAATTCCACGGGGGATGGTTGGATTGAGGTTGTGAGGCTATGGCAATATCCAAGGTAGGGCTAAAATATGCCAAAATCGTCGGCTCCAGCTCGGTGGGCTGAAGCATTCAAATGCTCGAAAGGGGATTGTGAAAGATATTGAAAGATATTGAAAGATTGCCTCTCTAGAAAATCAGGGATCACTAAAGAATCAGGAACGTACTCCCAGAGATGCTCAAATTATGCTTCTGGATTCTGGGCACCTAAACTCTCCAGAAAATCAGCATCTGACGACTCAGAGGTCTCCAAAAGTTGTTCTATAGAAAAATGGGGGAACTTCGAAAGCATCATTTAAGCAAATTCGAACTTTTCGAAGGACAGAAAATCAACCCTCCTTAAAGATTTAACCCCCCTGAAATCCTAGAGGAAACTCATACCGGTATATTTTTCGGATATTTATACATTTATATGGAATAAATTTAATATTCATTCATTATATAATAAATTTATTTATTATGTTTGAACCATTACTTTAAATTTATCATTTTTTTTGGAATATTCCATAGCTTTTAAAATTTCCGTTTCAAAAGAATCTTCAGGATCATCCTGGTTAGGCAGTGCTCTGAAGCTCTTTCAATTTTGAGAGGATTTATGGGGGATGAAAACCAAGATCGCACTATCATAGCTATACAATACCACATAATGCCGTGTATATCTATATATAATACATAGCCATGCTAATCTCAAAAAAACGACTATCTTCCACACCAAGCAATGTCGCGAAGAAGCCGTTATGGGGAGATTCTGGTTACCATGATCTTATGTTACATCCATCGAGCTTCATCATTTTGCAGGTCCCCTTAGCAACCCCAGGTAGATGATGATATGCCCCAGCAGGAGATCGAGCTGTTTTGCGACTTGAAAGAAGGCTCTTTCCACAGGCATGATATTTGATTTGTTTCCCAGGGCTCAAAATTTTGGGAAAAAAGAAACAAATCCCATGGTTTACCCTCTGGTGAACTAACATAGCAATGGAAAATCACCATTTTTAATTGGGCCATTTTCAATTGCAAACTGTAAACGTTCACCAGAGGGTATCTTTCCCATTGGAATAGACAAGTATTTGGGTCCCATTTTGAGAGAAACGCAATGGTAACCATGGAGGGAACATCTTTCAATGACAGCAATGATTTTCCCGGCCGCGACCGATAAAATAACCTCCATTTAGAATTGGATTTCTAGGGGATTTTCCAGCTACATTTGATTGGAGGGTAATACCCTCTGGTAAACTAACAGTTTGCCATGGAAAGATCCACAATCTTTAAGTTCGGTAAATCAACGAACTAAATGGGCCATTTTCAATAGCTATGTCACAAATTACCGGAGGGTCATACATTTTAAGATCGTTCATCAACCACGACGCAAGGACAAGATCGTTGCATCGGGGCCCAATCAGAGTTTGTCGGGAGGTTTTGGGATGTTTCGGGATGATTCGTCTTAACCATGATTCCAGGGCTCGGGAGAACAGGCTTTGGTCGTTATAATTTGCCCAGATGAATGCTTATTAGATCATTAATCATATCTACATATATATATATATATTATATTCTATAACAATATATTATTAATGGTTATTATATAAATATTATGTATCTGATCTGCTATAAGACTGACTCATGGTTATTTTATAATGGTATGTAATGGTTATATAATGGTATCAATTCAAATTCCACCCCGAGTCCCCATCTCCCACTCAACAATCCCATCTGGCTGAGCTGACTTCCCAAAACCAGCACTTTTTAAGCCAGTTTGGGGCGTATCTGAAAATCGGGTATAACCCTTCAAAATATATAGCACTTTTCATGGGGAAAATTCGTTTCTCAACCATCAAAATTGTTTTTCCCCCAAACAAATTCAGGCACCACAGCCAGCTGGGTTTGTCTGAAAATATGATACACCTGAATCCTCTGGTTAATTAGCATTTTCCCACGAAAAGTTCATATACCCAATTTTCAGACAGGCACAAATTCCACTATCACTGACTTGGCTAAAACACAATTTTATGATGGTTAAAGCCATCAATTTTGGTTGGGTAAATCCCATTACGATGCCTGATTTTAAAGGGGGTTGTTACAGCTATTGCCTCTTACCTATCAATTAGTACCTACCATTTTTTACAGCCCATCATGATATATCCCTTTACATCCCCATACCATTGGTATAAAAACCCCCATTTGGGTTGGTTAAATCCCATGAACATCCCCCCAAAAATTGATTGAAACATCCCAAACATCGTATATCCCAGTATATTATTATATCCGATCATATATATATATGTATATATATATATGATTATATATGTATGTATTATAATATACACATTTATCCCATTATATCCCCCATGAAAATCCCAGTGAGTTGAAAAACATCCTCCATGCGGCGGGAAAAAAACACCACAAAAAGCACCGCGACCGCGGCCTGATGTACACAGAGCTCGCCTCGGGGCACACAGCCCAGGGCCGCTCCCACCTCGAGGAGGCGTTTTTTAACAAGGGGTGATTTCAAGAGCCCTGTGGTTTAACCATGTTTCACCACTATAAATGGTGATTTAATGGTGATTTAATGGTGATTCAATGGTTTAACAATGGGTTAACAATGGTGAATAATGGGAGGATGTGGGGTATACCTTGACCTTTCTATTACTACCATGGCCAATCTTAGATACCCTGCAAAAGATGACAAATTCGCTGGTGAACGTAGATAATCCCATTGATACCAAAAGACTAAAGGTTTAAGTCTTAGATTTGGTGTGCAGGTCATTCAACATTCACTTTGTGGCCACTTCGTCGGTATTTCGCCAGTTTTCTAACATGGCGGTGGTGCCTTCTTGGATCTGCAAAAATGTCTGCTGCTACCCAGCCTCTGTGAGAAAAATCACTCACGAGCCCCAAAAAGTGGCCCTATAGCAGCTGTGCAACCAAGGTTTTACTTCGAATGGTGGGGTTTTACCATCCGAAAACAACTCTGGAGATCTAGAACTCGTCTTAGCCACTGGGCTTCCAAACACCGCAGTCGCAAGGGAAAGTCCAGGGGATGTCTGTGAAATACTCCAGCCTCAGGACATACCAAGGCTGTCTGCACTTCATCGCGACTCTTGGATATCTTGGATATCTTGGATGCCCAAGATATCCGAAACAAAAAACAACAACCACATGTTTTTTTCTCTTGTTCTGTTGAAGTTTTCTTGATATCACCTCACTAGTTGCAGTACTGTTCTATTGAGGTTTCCCCAGTGAATCAATCAATGATGTCATCCCGGCTGACGAGAAATTCCTGGTGGTTTTCCTCAAACCTCTAAAGGTGGCAACAAACAAATCTTTGTAAGGTCACCAAAATAGCACCAAATTGATTTCCAGATACGAGAAGAGAAGTGAAGAAGTGGTGACTCAGATTGCCTATTCATACCTTGTGCCTATTCAACTAGGACTTCTTTCTCCAGCTTATGTTTGCTATAGGTACGGCGGATGGTCCTAGTACGCACTGAAATGGAGACAAGTTCCATGAATTTTCCAGCTGTGGCTGTTGCAAGATGCTCGAAACTGAGGCACACTGAAATCGTGCGACAGCCAGGTAGCAATGCAGAGTTTTGTAGCGTTCCTACTGAACCCAAGGGTGCACATAGCATCTTGGGCAATTTGAAAACGCCAAGTTCAGAACCCAAGGCGAACACAGTTTATCTATGAATTTCCGCAACGTGGGAATGCAGAGACCTGTGCAGTGCCCTTGGAAACACAACATGTCTGAACATTCTGCACTCCCATGAAATGGAAGACAAAATGAATGCTATGGCTATGGTCAGGGGATGTGATATGTGAGAATTCCTTGTGGGGTGCAAGGCAATATACATCAACATATACTATTCTCAACCATATACCGTGCCTATCTATATCTACTTGCAATGTCCCTGGTAATTCATCATGGAACTGGCATGTCAAAGTCAGCTTGCTCACACACCAAGCACGATCTCAACAGCTGTTTCAAGATGCTCGAAACTGAGGCACATATTTTAATCGTGCGACAGCCAGGTAGCAATGCAGAGTTTTGTAGCGTTCCTACTGAACCCAAGGGTGCACATAGCATCTTGGGCAATTTGAAAACGCCAAGGAGTGCTCAGGTCTGGAAGCAGAATAAATGTCTAAAATTCCGTAGGAGTAACGTTGTCACACTAAGGTCCCAGACTTTTCGGCCCAGCCGTGATACACGGCACAACAATCCAAACCTGGAAGACGAATAGACTGAAAGGATGTCAGTCTACACAGTTTGTTCATATCTTTTGTTGATCAATTTAAACTATACTGTAGTCTTCCTATATCGCATATTTGGGTATTTGGGTGCCTGAAAATGGGGTAGTGACAATTTTGACAGAGAACATCATGATAAACGTTGATAAACCTTCATAAACCATTGGATAAGCCTTGTTAATCCTTTTTAACGATACTCACATGAATCAAGTTCGATGCGAAGAGACGGATGAGTCCAAATTAGATAGCCTTTCTAGCTCTGCTACCTGTTGGGTTTGTCCCAAAATGAGTGCGACTTTACGACTTTGGGTAAACTGACCTGCCGATTTGGAGCGCCATTCTGGCTGACTTTCCTGGGAAAATGATCTGCGAATTTCCACACGTTTCCGATTTGGCATCACGGTGGTCCCCGCAAATCCGTATCACAAGGATCCGGCCTTCAGTTAATCACAGCTCCAAAGCGGGCGAATTTTGGAACTGGGAATTCTCAGAACTCTTCACCAAAGCAGAAATTTTTGCCCACCCGAAATCCCCAACAAAAAAATGCCTTGAACTCCACAATTTCTTCTTCCTGGCGTCAAATTTGGCAAAAACTGCGACTTCAGTTGGCGCCTCAAGGAATCAGCATCCATCAGATGGTGAATCATTCCCCTTGTTGTAAAGTAGGTCCGCATTTTTAGCCAAATCTTATCACATCTGTAAGACAAGTGTTCCATATATCTCACATATATCTCAATTATATCTCAATTTCCAGCTCAGCCAACTTATCTCAGTTATCTATAGTTATCTCATATCACATCCTTCTTTTATGTCTTACAGATTTCGTTACGACCAAAGCAATGTTGAGTTTCAGGCTTACGGACCTAGCTTTGGGTTGGTCAAAAACTCAGGTGTGTTGGTTAAAAAAACTGTTGGTTGGGTATGTCATTTTGTTGTCACTTCAAAATCCACTTTTGTTGTCCAAACCCCAAGATAGTTTGTGGCTCATACCTCGATGTTTCGTGATGTTTCGTCCAAAGCCCTTGTCAATTCACTCAGGACTTTTGCTCTATCCACATTTTCTCCCACATCAAATTCGTTCTCCAAAAAACACCACGTCCAAATCCATCCCTATAGTGACATTTTTTTTGTGGCCTATCCAAGCTTTTTGTTTCAAAAAAAAATCCCACCATGTCTTGTTGCTAAATGAACCCACCAATCTGGGTAAATTATAATATTTCACTAACCTGAATCTTGCGGCCATGAATGGGGATGATTTCCCTTACTAACCATCATTCCCAGTGAGGGAGAACAGTGAGGTCGTTATAATTTACCCAGACCAATCATCCCTCCTGGATCTGCTGCTTGTCCCGGTCTTCGAGCCAACACCTCCAAGTTGAGCTCCACCCAGCGGCACGGGAACAAGCGCCGCGCCAAGCTTGCGCCGCCTGGATCTGTCAACTGGAGGCTTGACACCATTAAAAAAACCAGGATTCATCCAAGAAAGACGGGGATATATATATGTTATATTGGTGCAGAATATGGTATATTCATACAAATAAAACATAGCACATGTAATTAACCTTGTTTATTCTCTAAAAATCATGGACTCCAGAACCAAATATCAACAAAAACCGGATAGAACCACCAAGATCTCACAATCAAGCATCAAAGAAAGGGCAACGAATGGGGATTCAACCAAATATATCTAGCTATCTACATACCCTCTGATAAACTAACATAGCTATTGAGAATGGCCATAGAAATAGTTGATTTACACATTAAAAATAGTGATTTGATTGTCCGTAGTTATGTTAGTTTACCAGAGGGTATCTATCCATCTAATTCTATCTATGTCAATCATTGATCAAGTCTCCTGCCTTGCGTGTCCTCTTTGAGCCGGAGCCGGTCTCGTAGCACCAGCAAATCCACATCGGGCCCCACCTGCGGCTGATTTCCAGGCCCAGAAAATCATCAGAAATTCACAATATGTGGATCTGTACATAATATTCTTGGTGTTCAGCCAATCAAACACCCAATTTTTGAGGTATTAGAGCAAATCGACCCATTATATCCCCATATAAATCCCATTATATCCCCATATAAATCCCATTATATCCCCATATAAATCCCATATAATCCCATTATATCCCTATATAAATGGCTATAAACACCAAGCCATTTTCATGGTTTTTGGAAAAATCCCACATCATCCCGCAACTGAACGAAAATCCCAAACATCAGTCCCGTACCTCCAGGATCTCTGTCGAAACCACTGCGACCTGCTGGAAAATCAGCCATTTACCCTAACTCAATGGAGGTTTTAATGGTAAAATATGGGAAAATATGGGAAATATATGGTTAGTATGGTTTAATATGGTTTAATCCCATTGATTATCATACTTAGCTACTTAGCTGGTTGGTGGTATACCTACCCCTCTGAAAAATATGAAACTCAGTTGGGATGATTATTCCCAAGATATGGAAAAACATGTTCCAAATCACCAACCAGGTAGGAAATCCCCAAAGATGAACATTTCAAGAAGAACATATGGGAACATGATTCACAAATGAGGGATGTCCAATTGTCATATTTGATTATCCAAACGTAAGTATGGTCTAATGGGTGAAATCACAGTTTAAAACCAAAGCCAATAAAATAATATAAAATACGTATATGTCTAACTGGTATTTTTACATGCCATATATTTAGAGATTTCACCAATATCCATTAGATGGTGGATGTGCCAATGAATGGCAAGAGCCCATGGCGATCCCATCATATGAAAAACCACCAACCTTTGGCAAATGAACATGCCCAGTCTGTAGATGATTTACCTTTAAACAATGCTGGTTTTGCATGGTTACCCTCTTGTAAACTAACAGGTTGCTATTGAACATGGCCATTGAAATAGTGGATTTACCCATTAAAAATAGTGGATTTTTCCATAGTGATGTAAACGTTTACAAGAGGGTATGTGAAAAATTATCAGAGGGTAAACCCCCATCTTTGGACAACCCCCAGGGTACAACAATCGTTTTTCTTTGGTTGGTCAACTAACCCCGGCCTCATCCTTGAGCTGGGCTGTAGACAACTGTTGGTACTCTGCCTCAACAAAACGTGCCACCCGTTGATGCATGAGCCAGACATGTTGTACATTATGTGTATATGCATATGTATATAATATGTAACGTAATTCTAGATATAAATCTACAACACTGTATATGTAGTCGAGTAAACACATACCGTAAAAAAGGTCTATATATCAAGTACAGACTGAATCGTATTTACATATAATGACAAAGGTATATGTATGTATGTATATATATATATATGTGACATTTAAAATCAATATAACATGGACCCCACATACTCCCAACATGAGCCCTACAAAGGCCCAACATAGATCATATATATGGTTTTATTGGAACTCCGGAGCTAAGATGCCATGATGTGATGCACCACACACGAAACAAAAATGAGTCCCCTTTCTATTCGGATGGCATGCTATGGCCCTAAACGGATTCCAAATTTTGAATCTATGCTGCATACACTTGAAACATAAGCTGCACTGGAAAGTTGGAACAGTCCTTTTTCTTATTGCAATGGAATGGTCTAGCTCTGGTTAAAGTAATGATGTTTGCACATGTTGAAGATCTTGATTTTAGAAGAAACAATATTGCACTTCTTTGAAAAACATGCTGCATTCTTTGGACATGCTGAATTTGTGCAACATTATGTTTTCCAACGGAATGAAATCTACTATTTTCCAAATATTTTTTGTACTTGTTGAAGACCTCTTGTAAACCCCTACTGCACGCGTTTTAAAGATATACATATATATATATATACACATATATATACACATATTATATATATACACATATATATATATATACATATATATATATATACACATATATATATATACACATATATATATATATATACATAAATATATATATGCACTCTCGTGAGACCAGACTTTGCTCAAGGAATATTGCACCAGACTGTGCCTATGTGACTTTCGTTGCCGGTTTTGTCGGTGATTCATGTCCCAACTTAGTGGCTACAAGCTGGCAACAGGTAGTTTTTTCTTGTTGCGGGGGGCTAGCATTTATATGTCTATATATTAGTATTTGTATACAAATGTATACACATGTATATACACATATACATATTTATAAGTTTTATATAAGTATATACATAATTATATGTATGGGTTGTTAACTCTTTAAACCACCCAGGAACTCGGATGTACGTGTTGGCTTCGAAGAGCTTTTTTGCAGCGTCCCGCTGGCCGACGGTGAGTCTACTGGACTGGTTTATGGCAAAAATGTGCAAAATCACCAAACAACAGTTTTTTTTATGCCAATAATAGTGGTTATATATGGTTATATGATGGGATTATAGCTATATATATATATATCTGGTTGGTGGTGCAATAACCATCTTGAAAAATATGAAAGTCAATGGGAAGGATTATCCCGAATTATCCCATATATTATGGAACATAAAAAATGTTCCAAACCACCAACCATATATATATATATATATGTGTAACTATCTATATATCTATATAATTATACATATTTACTACTGATGGCAAGCAATCACCCAGTTCTACATAGTTCTACCCACCATATGGCATAAAGATGCACAAAGTATAACATCGTATCCCAATTACATCCCAGTATAGTCCTTTTATATTCCCTTTGCATCTCCGTTATCCCACTAGGCTTTTAGTCACTGCCGGGCAGCAACAAAACGCGTGTCAAGCTGCATTTCTTCGAATGCCGGCTTCGACCAAGAGATGTCCAAAGCTCTTCACGAACGCTTCCTGGGTGGTCTGATATCACTGGGGTGCAGGGGATGTTTCAGGTCTAAGCAGACAAACATGAGGGCAACCACCTAATGTGGAAAAAATGGAGAATCATTGGGAATCTAGCGGAGCGTATTATACTTTTTGATATTTTTAAACAAAAATCGACGGTTTCCTGGGATATAGCTTTGGTCACCATTTCTGGGACTTCCTAGGAGAAGTCATCCCAGTCTCATTGACGTGCCCCATTTTGCAGCTTCCTGTCAACCTACTCTGTGCATTATATGTATGAGATATGATCATATTATCTATCATATACAGAACCATATATATATATATATACACATACACAATAACTATATATATAATTATATATATATATTATATACATATAACTATATACATATAAATTACATATATACGATTATAATCGATTATATAATATATAATTATATATCATATCCTCACAGCGCCCAGCGTCTGCATCTGCGAAGAAATCGAAGGTACAGCCTGACGGCCCCGCAACGGTGTCACCGGTGTCCAGGTCTCGGGAAAAATCCTTGGAAAATATGGGAAAATCCTTCGAAAATATGGGAACATCCTAGGAAAATACGGGAAAATCCTTGGAAAATATGAGAAATCGTCTATAAATGGTAATTTAAATGGGAACACCATCTATAAATTTAAATGGGTAACTTTGTCTGCCACGTTTGATTACCAGACGGCAATGCGATGGGATACAGTACACTTCGGGCAAAAGTTCACCTTCAGAAAGGGATGCGAATGAGATGACATCACCTGCTATATCCACATGAACGATAGCAATACCAACAACCAGAACGATACGACCACAACTAGCATATGGGTGTGTCTGAAAATGTTGTGTACCCCCAAACTACCCAATGGTTTTGCTGATCATTATCCCGTTTTTAAATGGCTATTTCATTGGGAATATACCCTATTTTCAGACAAACCCATATGAAATCACCAAGAAAAGAGGGATTTTGACCAGTGAGAAATGCTGAACTGACAACTTCCTGACACTTCTCAAGTCAGGATTACCCCTGCGCCTTCCCGCTTGTCTTTGAAGCTGGAAGACATGCCATAAACGTCCCACATGGGCAACAAGCCTCAGAGCTTGTGCCAGCACTAAGTGGGGCTCATCTAGTGAAATTCGTGAGATGTGGCTAGACACCACTTAATTCCATTCATATGGGTATGGATCAATACCTATAAAAATACCATTTTTAGTGGGATGAACATCCATAAATCCCAGCTATTTTGATGTGAAATAGTGCGACAAAAAGGGTTTTGACCCATCCCCATATCAAACAGCCTGGAAAACATGGTGGAATATTGGTGGATGAAATCACATCATTTGGGAGCAGTGGAAGCAGGGCTACAGTTGGATACCAGCCAAAAGTTACTCCCAACCAGCGGGGCATCCCAGTTTGCAAGTGGTTTTCACCATGGGATGACCCACAAAAAATTGCCAACCAGCAGGAAAAACCCTGCAAAAAATGACTTAAATTCTTTGCTGGTGAACGTGGATATTCCCATTGATACCAAAAGACTAGTTAGGATTAAAGTACTCATCTAAGATTGACCTAGACTTACCCTCTGGTAAACAAACATAGCTATTGCGGCTATTGAACATGGCCATTTATAGTGGATTTACCCATTAAAAATGGTGATTTTCCATAGTTTTTTGTATGTTTTACCAGAGGGTATGGAATACTCCCAGTTAGACATGGCTGCACGAAATGGAACATCCCAACGAGCCCGTGGCCGGAACCAGGCTGGTGACCGTGCATGGAACCCAACATTCTTAAAATGACGATCCATAATTTACCCTCTGGTGAACTACATAGCTATTGAAAATGGCCATTTATAGTGGATTTTCCCATTAAAAATGGTGATTTTCCATTGCTATGTTAGTTCACCAGAGGGTAATTTTCTGATTTGTGTCCAATCTTTTCTAGGTTCTTCCAGTAAGAAATTCATAAAATATTGACCAAATATCCCATCATTTTCTCATCATTTCCCAGAATTTTCCCCTCCAGTTCATGGGGCCGGTGCAGGCTCATTAGCGGGGATGACCATCTACATCACCATAAGTTGGGATATATCCCCTCTAAGTATGGTTATATCATGTTATATCTACTTGGGGTTGAGAATAGGGCACCCCCAATTCCCACTTCAAAGTGGCTCAAAAAATAGCTATCCCCTACCAGATCCAACATTTTTATACATTTTTGACCATGACAACTAGGAAACAGAAACAGCCATGGTGACTTGGGGTACCCCCATTTTCAGACACACCCCATTGAATTATCATGTAGCACTATTTATTTTGAGAAACCATCATAAACCATCCATCTATTTTTTGGATTTTCACTAAACCCCCAGATAAAACAAACATAAAACCATCCATTTTTTTGGGGGTTTTCACCATATCAAACCATCCATCCATTTTTTGTTTTTTTGGGTTGTCCATATTTGTCCATATTTGTCCATCATAAACCAACCATGGCCATGGGGCTTTTCATGAATTTTCCAGATTTTCCGACCCCAAAGATCCTCATGTCACCTGCCGAGTCTCTACAATCCCAGTCTTGCGGCAGCACCAAGCGCCTACGCAGCCGCACGGCCACTTCCAAGGCAGCGGTCAACTGGAGGAATTGACCTGGCACGTGGTGATTGACCAACTATCAACTTGGAGATGATATGGGGTTTATATGGGGATTATATGGGGTTAATATGGGGTTTATATGGAGATTGTATGAGAATTATACGGGGATTATATGGAGATGAAATGGAAATTGTATGGGATTTATCTGGTAATTCATTGGAAACTTACTGGGAGATCTTCATGGGATTTTTCATCATGGGAACGTGTTGAACTTTTTCGGATTTTTATGGGAGAAAATTCAGCAACCAAACTGAGGATTTAATGTACAGCTCCTTGATGGGGGATTCCCCATAAACCCCGGGAAGATGACACCGGAGGGTATATCTATAAAATAACGAACCAGCAAAAATCATCAGTGGACAGATATATTCAGCATTAACCACTCACAAATATGTTTGGCAGAAACCCTCCAGTTGTACATAATATATGCATCATATAATCATGGATACGTATATGTATATGTATATGTATATATATATATATGTATATGTATATGTATATGTATATGTATATGTATATGTATGTCTATGTCTATGTCTATGTGTATGTGTATGTGTATGTGTATGTGTATGTGTATGTATGTATATATATATATATATGGGCTTCCAAAAATGGGTGTACCCCTAAATCATCCATTTCATTTTCGGATTGTCCATGAAATAAACATTCGCGTTGTCTGCGCCAAGGGACACGCCAGACTTCCATTCACATCGCTGCAGCGGTGCGGCTGGTGGTAGGAAAGAAACCCTGGGCTGCGGCTGCTGCGGTTGGAGGTGGTGCGGGTGATCAAGGACGGTTTACGGAGCCAAGGCATCAAGGCTTTGATAGGCTTTGGCCATGGAGATCGGATGGTTTGAAAAATTCTTGAACATTCATGGGGATAGTTACGGCTAGTTGATGTGATCATCAATTTGATGTGACTATCAATTACAGTAATCATCAATGGATAATTACCATAATTACCAACTATCATCCAACTATCCAATCATCAATTTGAATCACCAATTACTGTGGACAATGGTGATGAATTAATTTAATTGGTGATTCAAATTGATAGTCCCCTTATTAATCAATTTGAATCAACTGTGGATAGTTACGGATAGTCCTCTCTGGATAGATGGGACCCGAAAAAATCCAGATGAGGATCCGGGGAGTTACAACCATAAAATCATCATGGCTGAACACAAAACATCTAGAGAATTCATATTTTTTTTTGAAACACAGCCATGGGAAAGTGGGGAAAGATATTCAAAGATGATCAAAACACCAGATTACACTACTGTTAGTAGCTCCTTGGCTCCCCAATCTTTATTCTGAATACAACCATAGCTCCGCTCAGCAGCGTCTCCAAATTCCCATTGATCAGAACCAGCAAATTCCGTCCGATCGTGATGGAATTGGCTTTAAACATAACTCGCTAGGGGTGGGACTCACTGCCTCACTGGGAACAGATGGCAAGATGGCAAGCCTCCGATAATTCCACATTTGCAAAATAGCCATGTTTTTTTCCATAGGTAAGTCACTGATCTATAAATTCATGGGCCGTTTCCCATAGCAAACTGGTACCCAATGAATCCCATGAAAACCTCCATTAATGTGGGTAAAACAATAATAAACCATCCCCCAAATCACCATAAATACGTGGTATAAACCATTCCCAAATGGCTGGTTTATCAAATGGCTGGTTTATTATTAAAACCCATTAATCCCACAGAGTATACATATTAGCAGAGGGGACGCACAGAAAAGATCCAACACGGACCACTCCACACCAAATGCCAAGGAACGCCATGGATCAACGGCGGGTACCGGCGCCGTGGGGTAGTATTCCTAGGTTTTCCAAACCCTCGACTAGCCTGAGACGCACAAAAAAGTCACAATTGTTTAGCTGCATGGTTAGTCTGTTTCCTGATTTGTGGCAAGAAACACATCCCTTATATATTCCCTTATATCTTATTGTTGATCTCTGAAGCTGAGCACAGAAAATTAGACAACTTAGCTTCCCAGCCATAGGCCGCAAACACTAGTTACTGTGCTACAAGCCCTCAAGAACGTCACAGGGACACATCCGGAATTCGTGCAAAACACCAATCAAACACCGTCAAACAGCGAGGATCCCATACGAAAAAGCGGGTTCCAACATTGACATCACCCAGAAACTGCTGGCTTGTCAGTTGAATCATTTTTGCTTTGGTTGGCTAATGGGTTTATTCTTACCCATTCTTACCCATTACCCATAGGAGGAGCTTCATATCACCAGTTCAACCCTGAGAGGGTCCCCAGGCATTTTTGGCCTTACCCCATGGTTTAAGCATCAAAGAAAACACTTCTAAAACTGCCACGAATCTAAATCCTCAATTTTCGGACACACTGGAACTTCCACTATTTAATTATATTTAATTGGCTTCAGCCCTGAATTTCTGATGCCAAATTCTCCAGTTATATCTCCATGGATTTCACCATGGTGCACCGAAAAAAAATCCCCATGGTGAAATCTACTGGACGACGGTGACAACGGCCATGAATTTTTGCAGCGGCTCGTCATGTTGGATGGGCTCCAAAAATCGTTCCGTGAGATTTTCCACAAACCACAGGCCTCGGTCCTTGGCGAAAAGAGGGCTGTTGACTGGGAGCCATGGATGGCAGGAAATGTGGTTAAAAATATGGCCTGGAATGGGAAAATCATCTACAAATCATCAATTCTTGTGATTGTTCTTGCTCTTATTGCTCTTGTTCTTGCTGGTGGTGCTGCTGTTGTGACTGTGGCAGTTGCTTTGCTGCCGAAATGTTTTGATTCTTGCGCGCTGCCACGGCGAAATTTCGAACTAGGCTGCTGGTGCTCACCTGAACTGGACAGTCCAGTTCCCCCATGTAATTCATTTAACATCATTTCACATCTTGAATAGGAGTGACAACTAAAAGCTCTTTGTGGTGGGGCTCGGTTCACAACTTTTCTGCCACTATTCCCCACCAATAAGATCCAGTAAGCATCCATTATATTCGGGGCTTCTGACCCATCTCTTAGTGTTCACCGGGGCTTGAATCAGGTGGAATCCCACCCCCCCCAGTTCGGCTCTTAGGCTTCGCCGCGGCTCGCGCAAGAAGTACGGCTTGTTCTTCCCAAAGTTCGCATGGGCGACCTCGGAACCAAACCAGTTATGGCATCTTTAGATAGGCTAATACATAATACAGCAATAATAGGGAACGGTATGATAAATTAGTGTTTTTTTTTTTGGGTAGTAATCCATTGCCCAGTTCTCAGAAATACGACGACCACGAACTGAGTGATGAGGGTTCAACCCACCCATCTCGGTGACCCTTTCCAGCACTAACGTTTGCGTCGTTGATCAATGTTTTCCAATTTGTATCATTCTGGAAAATAGATGAACATAGATTGCCAGAACATTTGCTGGAATCATCCCAGATCCATGCAGATCCTACAATGGCTCGAAACTCACTTTTTGGCCACGGCGATGGGCCACAGTTCCGGGTCATAAATGCAACCCCTTTTCGACCAATCAACTGCTTTTAATGGCCAGTTGCATTCTTCCAGACCCAACATCCAAAGCAGAATTTCAAAGTGCAAAAACATTGAGCCGCTAACTTTTGACCTTTCCCAAGTCTGGTAGAGACTAATTATACCACCTGAGTTAGGAAAGGTCCTACTTTCCTGGTAAACTAACATAGCCATGGAAAATCACCATTTTTAATGGGAAAATCTACTATTAATGGCAATTTTCAATAGCTACGTTAGTTTACCAGAGGGTAACCCTCCAGTCTCCTTCTCGGCTCATTTGGGTAACCCCCATCCCCAACAAGCGGCTGGGGGCAGTTCTAGACCTCGCAGCCGGTGGGAGCGGAGCCAGAAGAAAGCACCACCGTGGGCGATGACCGATGGATGGTGGACACCTCGTGGACGTCGTGAAGAAAAAAAATGGCAACATGAGATGAAGCCATTAGTTTAATGTGGTTTAATGTGGATTCATATGGTATATGATGTATATATAATATATAGCCCATTGACATCCAATTGACCAATTTGGGTATGGATCAATACCTATAAAAATACCATTTTTAGGGGGATGAACATCCATAAATCCCAGCTATTTTGATGTGAACTACAGGGGTACAAGGTTTTGACACACTGCCATTTACCAACTGAAGAATTGATTGATATGGCTGTGTCTGAAAATAGGGTACCCCCAATTATAGCCATTTAATAGGGAAACTGATCATTATATAACCATTGGGTTTAGGCACACAATATTTTCAGACAAACCCATATTGATTGAACACTTTTGTGAAGCTTCGACAAATCTATCAAAAAAGATGGACCAGTTCCAAGGATTTTCCCCATTTTGCCCGTCGTTTCCCTATCAACATCCGAAGCCAAGGGACGCACTGAGGGGTTGGGTGCACCGTCCATGCTCAGTGGGCTGCCGTAAGTCAAGTTTTCCATCATCGAAAAGCAACGGCCTTCCTTGAGTCGCCTGTGGAGATGCGTGGCTTGGAGAATGGTGAGCCGAAAAAACCAATGCAATGGTGAGCCGTGTGTATGTTGAACATGTCGATATGATATATGCTGTACATTCATATAGATACACATTTGCCGGCAACTATTTAAGATGAAAAAAGGGTACAACCATCCAGACTTGTTGAGACTTGTTGAGCATGGATTACTCTTGATTCACAGCCCTTGTTTTAGTGGTTGCCTTCGGCAAGCCTGCCGAGGTTGCCCCAGGAGTAGACGACAGTGCTGTAGACATCGGCACTACCAGTTTAATACTTGGGGAAGAAGGAAGGAGTATAGGACTAGGGGCAGGAGCAGGAGTAGCAGTAGTTAAACAAGCCAAGAACAGAACAGGAACAGGAACAACACGTTCCAATCAGACAATACCCACAAAGCGTTTGACCATGCACTCACAGCTATGTTTACACTATGCACTTGTAGCACTTCGAAGATAATTTCTCATGTCTAACTCAAGGACCTGTTGCCCTATGGGTGTGGCGTTGTCTTTCTAAGACTTGCAGACTTGAAAGTCATTCTCTGGAGGTTCGAATCCCTCCAGGTCCGTTTTGTTCTCACTTCCATTCTTTGCTTGTTTTTTGCCTTCTTTTTGCATTGTCTTTATTCCTTCCCTTCCCTTTCTTTCGCTAGCTGTCCTTACTGACTTTGTTTGAAGGATAATTATGAAACAAGATGGAAAACGATGGATCATGATGGAACGAAAATTATATATGATGGAAAAACATGGAACAGTGTAGAACATAGAGGACAATTGCACTGACACTTACATGGACAATATCTGGAAAATGGTGATAAACCCTAGTCTTTAGCATTTTAGGATCCATTGCATATTCATCTTCCAGGATAATGATGGAACGTGATACGGAAATGCAGTCATTCAAGGTCAATTCCATATATCATATCACCCGTCTTTTTAGCTGTTTTTCTTTTTAATATGGGAGTGCTATAAACCATCAATTTCTCATTGCTTTGCGAACATTAAACAAATTCATCCCATCTATTCCCAATGAAAGTCCAATATTACCCCACTTTTTCCAGCAGTTTCCAATCATCATCCCACCCTCTGGTAAACTAACCTAACTATGGAAAATCACAGGGGTTGGAAGATTAGTTTCCATTATAAAACTAGGCTATTTTCAGGGTCTATGTTAATTTACCAGAGGGTAAATCAACGATTTTTCTATGGCCATGGCATGGCTTGATGCTGCCAAGCTCGCCTGCGGAGGAAGTGACTGAAGATGCGCTGGTCGAACAAATCGAAGATGCCCAAGCCGTGTCCCAAACCCTGCCGACGCATAGGACTTGTGGGATGGGACCTTCAACCAACGATCGATTTTTTTTTTGGGGGATTTAACATTGTTTAACAGGAATTAATCTGGTTTAAGTATGTTTAACATGGTCTAACCCATGAAGAAGTAGGGATTGAACATGATTCATAGGGATTTAACATGATTTAATCAACAAAACTCGAAGATTGAAGTAAGTAGTTGGGGGCTTTAAACAAAGAAATGGGTCATTTAACCAATAAGAATTGGGGGATTTAAGTGTTGAAAGTTGATTTTTTTTTACCTGATTCAACCAAACAAAAACTGGCACTTAACCAATATATATATATATATATTTATTTATTTAATATATATATATATATACACACATACATACATGTATATCAATATACCAATGAAACCTGGGATTCAAACGATGACAATTGGCTTAAACCAATCATAGTCGCAGAATGCCGGAAACTTGTTGTTTTTCTACCTTCCAAAGGGCCAGGGGCAAACCCTGAGAATGTTCCCCAAAACACGAATTCTGGCACAGGATACCCAGACCCAGACCCAAAATCAAATCAATTTTCATACACATGGAAATTCTCACGTAATCACCTGCTTCCAGCTCAGCAGTTTTCAGCTTGAGGATAGACCCATTGGGACCAAATTATCATGGACGATCCCATGAATCCCTAGCTACCCTCTGGTAATTTAACGTAGCTATTGAAAATGACCATTAATAGTGGATTTTCCCATTAAAAATGGTGATTTTCAATAGCTATGTTAAATTACCAGAGGCTACATGTCTCATTTTTGGATACGGAAAAACCATCAGCATGATATGGGCCAGAGATGGTCAGCAAAGCCTGGTTCATCTGGTTCTGAGTGTGTCTGAACATCATTCACTGAAACTTATGGAATGAACCTGTGGATTTACCCTCTGGTAAACTGACAATCTAACATAACGAACTGGAAAGATCCACCATTTTTAATAGGAAAATCAAGGAACTAAATGGCAATTTTCAATAGCTATTTTGACATAACCAGAGGGTAGGGATTCCCTAGTTTCAAACATCCCTGGGTGCAGCATTACCCGTTGGATGGGCCCGAAATATCCCATTGGTTCATGGCTAAGTGCTTGGTGGCTCCACTCAATTTGCAAGTTATAAGTCTAGTGGCCCTAGTTTCTTAAGTGAATTAACCCTACTTATCCCACTTAACCAGGGGTAATCCCAGTCATCATCCATTTTCTCTTGGGATTTTCCATGAAAAATAACTGGTTGGTGGTATACCTACCCCTTCTGAAAAATATGAGTTCGTCAATGGGAAGGATTATCCCATATAGTGGTTTCAACCCATCTGAAAAATATGAAAGTCAGTTGGGATAATGAAATTCCCTATATATTGTGGAAAATAACACAGATTTGAAACCACCAACCAGAATAACTATCCAGCGAGCTTGGGGTACCCCCATGACTATGGAAACCCCAGGCCTGAGCGTCCCAGGGCGCATCCCATGGCGAATGATGGGCTCGGATGAAGTCTTGCACCTAAAGAAAGGAGCTCCCCCCCCCAGGGTGGGTCCGTCACCCCTAAAAACCCGCAAGATGTCCTCTGAAAAAATGGAATTTCATATTTTTGGATGGGTTTTTTTTATAGTGATTTCATGGTTTTTTGTAGTGATTTAATAGGTTTTTATAGTGATTTAACAGGATGTTCATGGGATAAATGGGGGTTTACTGGGATATTCATGGGATACTTAAGCAGCAAGATCTTAATCCAATGGGGACATCATGAAAGACTAGGAATAATCCATGAACAAATGGAAGGTTCATGGAATATTCATGGAACTATTCGTTAATATCCTCTGGTAATCAAGCTTGACAATGGGAAATCACCCCTAAGTCGAGGTTTTTTTTGCTTGGAAAATCATCGAACTAATGACATGACTGCGGATATTTCCAGCGTTTGATTACCAGATCGTATGCCAAAGTTTATTGCCATTGAGATCCATTGAGTCTATCATAGCAAGACATCCACATTGAACATGGCATTTACTAGTTCCACATTCACCGGAAAGATAGAACAGTATAATTTGCCACTAGTTTAGCGGGAATTATGTTTCTATCCATATTTCCGTTTCGCTCAGTTTTTTCCCAAGCCATTTCAGTCGATTTACCTCTTGAGCCCTTGAAGTTTCCAGCCAGCAACAGTGGCAAGAGGGAGGCTACGGTGGCTGTCACTGCCACGCCAAACATCCGATGGTTGTTGTAACGTCCCTAGATATTCCATGTATCTAGACCCTTCAAATACTCCCGTTAGAAATGGTAAAACAAGTGTTAAAGTACTGACATTATAGGATATCACACATCATTTATACGGAGACTTGGAGGGTCTAGGTAGAGCCATCCCTAGATCCAAGTAGAAATTTTACTCTCCAGATCCAGAGACATCCCTCCCGATATTCGCGTCGCATCTAGGCGTCTAGGCGCTAGCTGTAAAGATCGCTCAGAAGCTCTGGCGAACATGAAGCCAGTGTTCACGTGCTCCTGGAACATCCAAATCATCCAACCCCCAAAACGAAGCTGGGCTTAGCTGGGCTTGGGAGTGGTGGATGTTATCCCCCAAAAATGGTTGCCGGTCAGAAGTAGCCCAAAAATGGAGAAAACAAATCCAAATTGGGGATGTGCCAAAAGCCTCCAGAACCATTAACCCTAACATCAAAATCGCCGGTATTCATGTATGTTCATCCATCCCAAATATGTTTTTTAATAGGTGTTGATATTAGTGTTGATCCATCCCCCAAAAGGATCATCCGGATTCCGGAGTTCAAAGCACCTCATATCAACTTCTTATTTATAGATATATCCTCCCCTCTGAAATATGCTTAGTATGGTTTAATATGGTGCAAAATCCCATTGATTATCATACTTAGTTACTTAGCTGGTTGGTGGTATACCTACCCCTCTGAAAAATATGACTTCGTCAGTTGGGGTTATGACATTGCCAATATATGGAGGTTTCCATATTCATGGGGGTACCCAAGAGCTGGATGGTTTAGACTGGAACATCCCAATCGAAAATGGATGATTTATTTAGGGTACCTCCATGACTATGGAAACCTCCATATATATACTGTCAGTGCCGGAATTATAGAACGGAAGTTGAGGAGTACGAAGGTACGGTTATTTACCGTACCCTGTTGTTCTATAATTCTGTTTTCCTCGGAAGGTGTGAAAAAAAACGTATCTGAATTTACTCCTAACTTTTTTCGTCGTTCTATAATTCTTGTCGGAGCGCTGCTGTTCTATAATTATGTTTTCCCCCATTTTTCTCACATTTCCCATTTTCGTTCTATAATCAATGTTTCCCGGGCCCCGTTCTATAATTAATGTTTCCCGGGCCCCGTTCTATAATTCTTGTCGGAGCGCTGCTGTTCTATAATTCTGTTTTCACCCATTTTTCTCACATTTCCCATTTTCGTTCTATAATTCCTGTCGGAGCGCTGCTGTTCTATAATTCTGTTTTCCCCCATTTTTCTCACATTTCCCATTTTCGTTCTATAATTAATGTATATATATATATATATTTTTACAATTACAATTATATGATATTTATCATCCATATCCATCCAAATCTCATATCCCTGCAGTTCAATCTCCATGATCGAACGCCGCCATTCGGCTTTTCTCCGCTCGGAGACCGCGCTGGCGTGGCCCTTTTGGCACCCGTCAGCAGCGCCAACTTTTCCTTCAGCTCGGCCAGTTCCCTGTGACAAGTCGCTGTGACCGCTGGTGTTTCAACATCTTAAGGATATATATATATATGTGGGGTATATATATATATATACATGGATAATACATATACATATATATATATACATACGTATGATGTTATATAACCACGTAACATTATATTATGACCTTGTATCTCCATGTTTCATGATCTTAAGTATCTTTAACTTGATTCTATAGAAAACAACAACTTAAAGAACCAGGGAGATATATTCTATGGCTTGAGACTTATCAACAAGGAGTAAATGCTTAGGTGGTTTTTATCAACTCTTACAAGTAACACACCTTCAATACGCCTTTACTAAATCCTTGATACACCTTAACCACCCCTATGTGTTGTCACGGCCAAGCTATGTCAATCTATCGCTATTCTCGGGTGGATAGATGCCATCATTCAAAGTGGGGATACATCAAGTTATTTCCGTTTGACATCATTTTCCTGCGGAAAACCTTCACAACAATACCCATTTTTTAAAACTAAACTTTTCCAGGTACTCAACTCCCACATGGAGGTTTCCTAAGTCATGGGAGTACCCCCAAATCATCCCAAATTCGACCATAATCAGATCATCGTATCGAAAAACCATGGCTGAATCAATACCATGGTATTTTACACATGATGATGGTTTATAAAAACCATTATAATCAGTACTAAAAATTTACCCATCATCAAAACCACAGTCTAAAAAAAAACCCATGATCAGGTACCTCAACTCCCACATCTTCTAACCAAAAAAAACAACGGGGCCTTTCAACGGCTTCGCGCCGTTCGCGCTCCAACATCAATTCCAGGTCCAGCACGGTGGAACGCACTGCCTGACGGACCGCGGACCAAATGGGTGACATGATGCCATGGCATGGGAACTCCGAAGCCATTGGTCTTAATGGGATAAGATTTGGGATATCATGGAGTTTTGACTATGAATTTTCAATTTTATAGCTTAATTGATATCTAAAAAAGAATCTTACATTCAATTTTGCAGTTTTTGATATCTTATAATATCTTATATTCAAATTTGGGATATAAGACTGCTAATAAAACATCTGCAATGACTCACCAGAAATAGCTGGTATAGAGCCTCTGAGACTGGAAGCTTACTATTCGGCTGGACACTTTAAATGTGGTCTACTGTACACAATCATCTTGTATTTATCTGTATACACTATACACTGACATTTGATTCTTTGAATCCTCAACATATCCCCGGTCAGAGCAAAACATAAACCAAAGTCAAATGAAACCCTTCACATCAAGCTGCTATCAAGCAAGCAAGCCTCGCTTTGCATGTTGCCCACAAATTTGATTCAAAACGGGATCTCTGAAACCAGCAAAAGCCTTGGATATCCAGTGGTTGACCCTCTATCCAACCCCAAAGAATTTAGAATATTTAGACGAAGTGTTTTTGTTTGACCCTCTATCCAACCCCATATATCCATATATATATATATATCCATATATTTTCCATATATATTCCATATATATATATATATTCCATGTATATATATATATATTCCATATATATATATATTCCATATATATATATATATATCCCATATGCCATCAGCTATGTCATAAGGTATGTCAGTGCTACGTCTTTTTTTTGGGGGACACCCATCCCCGGCTCCCGGCTTTGCTCCGTCGCCTGCGAAGGTCGAGAAGATTGGTATGTGAGCCTGGCGAAACCGGATGCCTCAACCTTCGAGCCAATTACTAATGACTAATAGGAAACCAGCATCATTATAGGGGTTATAATATATATATATATGGGTTATAAATAGTATATATATAGGGGTTATAATATATAATATATCATGACCTATATAATATACTAATGCAGGTTGGTGGTTTCAACCCCTCTGAAAAATATGAAAGTCAATGGGAAGGATGACATCCCATATATCATGGAAAATAACAAATGTTCCAAACCACCAACCAGAATGACTTAATAGGAAATCAGCATCAGGATAATGGGGAGAATGGAATAGATGAGAATAGGGGTTATAAATTATATATATAACCATCATGAAAACTATAACCATTATTATAACCATTATCATAACCGTTATTACAATGGCATTCAACCATCATTCGACCATGACCATAATGGGATAGTACTTACTAATGATATTAATCACCTGCAATAGGGATCAAATTGATTGGGACCATGGGAATTATTCCTGGACTTGTCTTTAAATTTGGAACCCCATGAAAAAACAACCATAACTTGGGCTATTCCCCACTTTGAGACACACCCATATGGTAAGAGAATGTAAGAAAATTGTGCAATGCATCCAGCAATGATGTAGGTTCCGGAAACTGTATCAACGATGGGGTATCAAGGGACAACTCACCGCTTGGGAGGTGCTATGGCAATCCACATTGGGGGTCCCAACGTTTGGTAAAACTGCTGAGATTAGCATTGTGTAATCCTTTCTGTTGTATACTTTTCTCGGATATTTCTTACTAGTCTTTGATGGCTTTTGCGTATCTCTTAGATGTTCTTCGGCTTTATTTGCACATATGTTTGTTGCTTGAAATTCTGATCCATTTATCCATTCCATTTGTTGGGCACAGCCGAAGCACTTGAAATACCCTCTGGTAAACATACAAAAAACTATGGAAAATCACCATTTTTCATGGGAAAACTCACTATTTCTATGGCCATTTTAACAATAGCTATGTTAGTCATTACCAGGCCGGGTACCATGACAACACACCCCTTTCTTTCTGCGCCTTGAAAGTGAAGAACTGCGTCCACTGAGGCGACTTCCGCTCACCTCTGAAAAATCCACTGCTGAAAATTTGGGATTTTCCTTGGGATTTTCCCTCAAATAAGTCATTCTCCAGCTGAAACACACTGTAGGCTTCAACCTAAAGTTCCATGACTTTGCCCTTCTAGACTTCTAACACATCATGTTCATCCTCAAACTATGGAAGACATTGATGGAACATCACCGCAATCTCTCCAAAACTCCAATTTCTTGGGATTTCATCATATTTCATCCATTTCCAGTTCCACCATGTTCCACCCAGTGTTCTCCGAAACGCCAAGCGACTTGAGAGGCCACTCCCGTGGCAGGCTGCGAGCTGGCTGCACTCCTGGGCCGTTCAGCGTTCAGCGCGGTTGAAACCGCGCTGCGTTGGCGTTGCAAGGCGTGGCCGTGCGAGGCGCGGGGCCCGACTTTGAAGGCAGCGTTGGGGCCTGGCACAGATGGATTGGGGATTTTTTTCTGGTTGATTTTGATGGTGAACTTTTTCATTTTGTTCTTGGAAACATATTCTACTACATGGTTACATGGGAAATCCAACCATCTTTTGATGAATGGCACATTGATTGTAGATATTACTACTAATACATCTCCGTCAAAAAGAAATGATGAATCGCAGTTCTTGATAGTTGCATTTTGTCTCTGGTATACAGAAGGGAATTAGTAGCTCACGCACGCTGGTTGGTTGCCTTTCCAGCACATAGACTTTTGTGCGATGTCTGAGAGTGTCCTGTTGCACTCGTATCTTCAAATTAAGTGCTTTCTTGAAGTGCTTATTGAAAAGTTCTACAGCAGCATGTGCTCCTTTGCTTAAACATTTCAAACCTTGGCCTATGCGAGCTGGTGGAATATGGGAGTGTAGCCGCCATCAACATCAGCAACAACTGTCAACTGACCACTGCTCACAAAATACAGTAGCTTACCCATTGGCTACCCCATCAAATCCATTGTTGATCATCATTTTCATCATTCAACTGCCATTTGATGGGGGCAGGCGCACCCACGTGTAAAGTTGTTGCTTTTCCCAATGAGCTGCCTCCCACATCCCCTGAACAGGGCTTGCGCAAAGGGTACGACAGAGAAAGCCTTAGGATGGACGCCGATGCCGAGAATAATGGAGAATCTGGGGATACCCAGGGGAATTGAACATAGCTATGGAAAATGACCCATCAATAGATGATTTGCCTATACTCCATGTGGACCCCGCGTATTTCCAAATATGTTCAATTCCCAATCATTCTCAGTCACCACTTTTCATTAGTTGCCTCTTTCTCCTAAATGCAACATATTGCAACTCATGCGAACACTCCTAAGTATCTACCCGCACCTATTCTTATCCACACGCACGTCATTTGGATCTCTTTCCATTTTTGGAGGCCTGTGCCATCTGAAAAACCTCCCCATGATTCTTCTTTCGTCGAGGAACATGCACCGGTTCAAATGGTCAGCGCAGCGGCGTGGGCCAGGAGGTGGGCAGATTTTTCCCACAAAATTCGTTTTGGGTTTGATCCTCATGTATGTTGGTTGAATAATTATATATCCTCTGGTAATTTAACATAGCTATTGAAAATGGTGATTTATAGTGGATTTTCCCATTGAAAATGGAGATTTTCCATAATTAGTTATGTACACGTTTACCAGAGGGTAATTAGTGTCGAAATCCTTCTACGAGTTTACCGGGTCAGGTTGGCTCACCTGATTTTCTAGGGAAAACATAGGTGAAAACAGATACTTGGACCCTAGAAAAACACAGCTGGAAAAAAAAAGAATACCACCTCACTAGAAAATCAGCACACATACAAAACGGCATTTTAGACCCTGAAGTGCTAAAAATCTGGTAGAAAGTTCAAATCTGATCCTTGGGCTCCGGCGAAAAATGCGGAGCTTGATGTCATAATTATTTAGCATCAACATCTGAGCTATGATATTCTAGAACATTCATGTCCGGCCTCCTCCCCCCTCCCGAGATTCGATTTTTTGGATTTTTTCGAGTCTTCTCTCAAAGCGTCCTCCAAAATGAGCCCTTCCCAGCCAATAGTCGCCATGAATTCAAATTCAGAAACAATCAGAAATATATCGATACATGTTGCTATGATAAACTATGATATTTTCATATATTTTAATATACGAGCTGGTATTTCATACTACCTCCGGGGCTTCGCAGCCTGGCCCGCCCCCCACATTTAAATGTCGTTACCGTACAGCATGCTGCAACTCTGTACAAAAACATACCGCCTCAGTTTCTTTCACTTCTTTCACTTCTTTCACTTCAGCAGTTTTTGGTCATAGAAGTTTCAAACAATGACTCAAAAGGAATGTGATTTTCTGGAAGTGACGCGCGCTGTTTTAAATCCAGTGCTTGATTTTCTAGAGGCCAGAATTTTCCATACATGTGCCTCCCACATTTTCAAGACGCCTGCATCCAGGTCCATATTCGAAAACCATCGAAAACCTATATTCGAAATTGTTATTTTCACATATTGGCACAATGCGTCACATGTTTTCACATTGTGCACATGTTCTCCATATGTTCATTTTTATATAACCCCATCCCAATGTATTTTAAGGTGTTTTCATGTTCTCAGATTTACCAGACTCGCAATTCTGGTTTAGGCGTTTTGGACTTGAATATAGAATATTTCAATATTTTTGGCGTACCCTTATAAAACAGCAGTTTTTGGTCATAGAAGTTTCAAACAATGATTCAGAAAGAATGTGATTTTCGAGAAGTGACGCGCGCTGTTTCAAATCCAGTGCTTGATTCTCTAGAGGCCACAATTTTCCATACATGTGCCTTCCACATTTTCTAGGCGCCTGCATCGAGGTCCATATTCGAAAATCCATATTCGAAATGACTATTTTTCACAAGTTTTCTGTATATTAATCATATTTCATTTTTAATTCCCAATCTATTTTCATGTGTTTTCAATTTCTCTGATCTACCAGACTCGCAGCGACGCGCAGGTACTCAAAGTTCCAGCCCAAGCGCTTCGGATTGGCTGTTTTCCAATTGCGAGATGCGGCAAGTGTTGCAAACTTGGACAGGAGAGAGATGGGACTAGATTTTAAGCATGTTTAAACAAAACAAAATGACCTACCAGTGCCCCTCTAGAAAATCAGGGACCACTAGAAACTCTAGGAACGTCCTCCCAGAGATGCTAAAATTATGCTCCTGGATTTTGGGCACTTAAGCTACCCAGAAAATCAGGGTCTCCCGACTCAGAGGTCTCCAAAAGTTGTTCTGTAGAAAATGAGGGGGTTGATAAAAGCAGCCTTTCATCAAAATCGAAGAATTTTCGCGCCAGATTATCAGTCCTTCTTAGGGGGGTTGACCCCCCTGAAATCCTAGAGGAAACTCACACCGGTATTTTCAGAAACATAAGTCTAACTCAACTAAACTAGAAAGACAGAGCCCACTAGAAATTCATAGGCTGACTCTCCAAAATTGGGTCCGTAAAATCCGCATCTTCCGCGCCAGAAAGTTAGGCAGTTAACGAGCCGGATTTCCTAAGGAAAAGGGAACCAGTATTCAGAAACATAAGTCTAACTCAACTAAACTAGAAAGACAGAGCCCACTAGAAATTCATAGGCTGACTCTCCAAAATTGGGTCCGTAAAATCCGCATCTTCCGCGCCAGAAAGTTAGGCTCTGTCAACTTTGAGGTGCTTAAAATAGCCACGCTAGAAAATTAAGGCCCCTATGAAAGCAGCCGATCCCCAGAATACAAACCTGGGATGACTAGGAAATGAAGGCTTACAGGGGGGTTGACCCCCTAGACTTTCTGGCGGAAACTGGTAAGGGGATGTGTCGAATATCTATTGAAATTGCACTCTTGCTGGCTGATCCACGTTCACTGATTCCAGGATCTCAAAAAATCTGCGGTCAACTGTGAGCCACAAGCCCTACGGAATTTTTCCGAGGTGATTTGGGTCAGGTTACCCGGCCTGGTAAAGGTTTACATAACGAACTGGAAAGATCCACCATTTTGTAGCTGGGTAAATCAACTATTTCGACTGGCCATGGCTTCAATAGCAAGCTGTTTACCAGAGGGTAATGGCCTGACATCCAGCCATCGCCATCCCAACCATGGGCCATAGGGGGCCAATCATAGCAAAGGCCCATGAAACTTGGTAAACCCTGGATGAATAAACCCCAAACTTACGGCTGTTGAAAAATGGGAAGGTACCATAAAAAAGTATCAAATCATGACGAAATAGGGGGAATACCCCCTAATTAATAAGCCATGGTTTATTAATCTGGGGTAACATGCAATCAAATTGAGTCTTTGATGCTCCAAAGATGTCACGAGTGTGTTTTCCGAGTGCTGAAACACTGGAACACCATTGTATGAACTTATGACAATGGCAACCTGACTTGGAGACTTCGCGAGACACAACTCGCCATGGAACATGGTTCCCTCTACAGTCCACCTCTTGAAATGTATCTGCCAACAGTTTGCCAACCTCTGATGTAGCAAGTTGTGCACATTCAATCCACAATGTTGGCCCACATTCAACACAAAATTGTCAGCTTATAAAATGGGGTTCCCCAAATTCTTGAATCATGCCCATGCATGCCCATCCATGGTCAAAACGTTGTATAGTTATGGCAGCCATAGTCATCCCACCATCATTAGGGATTCCTCGTAATCGGTATGCACATCTCCGTATAAATTGATGACACACAACTAATGGCCATACAATCCATTACGGATGGCTATGAAAAATCACCAAACATCTGCGGTCTAAAGTCACCCTCCGGTAATCAAAGGTGGGAAAACGGGAAAACCTCCCATTTACTTCGGTGATTTTCCCACATTTTTCCATCTTTTCCCATGGTTTAGTTCCAACATTTCCCAGCCATGTTTCATGACACCGATCACTTGACGCCGCAACTCCTCGTCTCTCCACCGTTCATCCCAGAGATCCCGCTCGGGGAAGAAGTGATCGGTCATCACCTGGGACACCCCGCGACAAGGGAAATCCCCGAATTCTTGGGGAGTTCATCAGATGATCTCCCAAAAATCCTGTTTAAAACACCATCAAACACCACAAATCTACCATCAAACACCATTAAACCACCATTAAAACACCATTTAAAAAAAAAAAACACCATGCCAAAAAGTTCGTGTTTTGATGTGCTTCGATGACAGGAGATTGTCTACTGATGAGGATCCACAAGGTAAGTTTTCGCACCGATGATGACTAGTGACTAATGTGCAATAGTCAACCATCTAAAACTAGTCATTAGTAGGCAACCATTAGTCATCAGTCATTAGTAGATTACTCTAATGTTGGTTTCAACCATCTAAAATTACGGACAGACCCTGTGGTTTGCCCGGACTGCAACATTGAGGATTCCCTGTCGTCGAACATGAGAAGAGAAATTGCAGAAAATACTGCGTATACAAAGTGTTTTCTGCTTTCGGATTCAGAGTTGTCAGGGTTTCAGGGTTTTAGATGGTTTTAGGGTTTAGGGCTTAGGGTTCGTCGTCTGGTAAATACCAAAACACTGGCCCTGCGCAGGTTTTTGAGCATGTCGAAGGATGACATTTGAACTCCATTCTAACCTTGCGGGCAAACCATAGGGTCTTGCCGTAAAATTAGGTCAAGGTTCATGCAGGGTCTTTGTCGACGTTCAGGTCATAATTTCCACCCAATTCCAAAAAAAAACACCTTCCAAGGATGCTATGGATATCCTGCTACCCTGCAAGTGAAACAAAGCACTTGGCAAATGGATGCAAATATGCCAAGTATTGCCAAGTTATACCTCCATGTACAGATTTATGTCTGGTTGGTGGTTAAAAACCATCTTGAAAAATATGATTTCGTCAATGGGAAGGATTATCCCATATGTTATGGAAAATAGAACATGTTTAAAACCACCAATCAAATAATTGGTGTCAAATATCCATTGGTCCATTGCACTTATACAGATTCATATGATTTACGTATATTATTTATGTATAATCCCATATAGATCCCCCAAAAAAATCCCATGAAGATCCTTGGAAATTCCATATAGATCCCCTTAAATCCCATTAAAATCCCATTAATTATATACCCTCTGGTTATGACTAACATAGATGGAAAGATCCACCATTTTTTAGTTCGGTAAACCATCTATAAATGGGCCATCTATACCATGGCTATGTTAAATAACCAGAGGGTAATCACAATTTGATGTTGTTCCATGAAGATCCACTGCTGCGATTCCCAGTGATTCCACACTTCTGCCTCGAAATCCGAGTCATAAAAGAAGTGCGGAAAGGGATCTGACAAGAAAACCACGTCCTTGGCGAAGCGGGACGCGGGGTAGAAATGGACGCACAAAAGTGGTCATGTTTGGTATTCAAACGTCCAAGTTCGGTCAATTTAGAATTTAGATTGCATTAAGAAGAACTATTTGGAACCTTTTGGAACCATACAAAGGATCATATGTCATATGTCATACATTGTCATACGGGGTTTGGGGGTCTATCCAATGTTTGGCCCATCGTTTCA